TGTAGCAGATCTATGGTGGAGTCATCGGTGGTAGTCGCCATCTTGACAGCTTGTCGTGTGTGCGTATGCGTGTGTGCGCACGTGTGTGTGTGTGTGTGTGCGTGTGTGTGTGTGTGTGTGTGTGTGTGTGTGTGTGTGTGTGCGTGTGTGGGAGTATGTTTGCGTGCGTGCGTGCGTGCGCGTGTGTGCGTGCGGGAGTGTGCGTGCGTGTGTGTGCGTATGTGTGTTGTTTGCGTGCGCGCGTGCGTGTGCGTCTGTGCGTGTGTGCGTGCGGGAGTGTGTGTGCGCGAGTGTGTGCGTAGGTGTGTGGTGTTTGCGTGCGCGTGCGTGTATGTGGTAATTGTCTATCTCTATCTCTCTATTCATCTGTCCTTCTATTTTTATTTTTCTCTCTCTCTCTCTCTCTCCACATCTATCCTCCCTACTCATCCACCCTCTCTATCATTACCTTCTTTGCCACCCTCTGCACCTTCCTTGGCTCCATTTTCTGCCTTAACCGAACCCCTTCTATACTGTGCTGGCCCTCCTATCGTCCAAGCTGGTGCTGCGGTCTACCGAGTCGGCCGTGTTCATGTTAGTGAGATAAGAAGATGCAGTCTGGTTTTGGTGCTTGTAGGTTGACTAGCTACCGTTGTCACTGTGATGTCCACACATGCCATCAGGTCATTTACTAAATGTCGTTTTCGGACATTTGAAAACACATTCCGGTTTTGAAAAACAGAAATTGATTGGGAAAAGGTAATTTGATTTTGAAACCCGGGATTGGTTTCGAAAACGAGGATTGATTTTGAAAGCAGCAATTGCTTTTGAAACCGGACATCGATTTTGAAAATGGTAATTGTTTTTGAAGATGGGATTTGTATTTGAAAACGAAAAATGGTTTTGAAAACTGAAAGCTATTTTGAAAACGTTTTTAAAATTAATTTCATTTCGAAAACCATATTTAAAATTTGAAACCAATTTTTAAAATTTCTAAATTGAACTATAAAACCTCATTTCAATTCCAGTAATTTTACAAATTGCAGTTTTCAAGTTTAATCCTTATTTTTGAAATTGGTTGTTTGCATTTTCAAAATGAATCCTCTTGTCCAAATTCAGATGGTTTTCAAATTAATTTCTCGTTTTTTTTATTTGCTTTATATTTGCAAATTCAGTTCTATTTTCAGACTTTTGTTCAGGTTGTGCTCATATCTCATCTAAAAGCAATATGCTTTGTTTCAGCAATAGTATTTGTTAATGTCTTCCAACTGAGTGTTTAACGCATCTAATGTCCTTTAATAACACATACAATAGTGAAAAAATGTCTATTTTTGGCGATTACTTTGAATAAAAACAATTTTTAATTTAATATCCAACTTGATTGTTTCGTTTGAGTTATACCGATCAGGTGTAAACACGGAGCTGTATATAACAACATATACTCACGCATGCACGCACGTGTACGTGCACACGCACGCACGAACGCACGAACGTGTACCTGCGCACGCGCGCACGCACGCACACACTCATGCACGCACGTGTACGTGCACATGCACGCACGCACACATGCACGCACGCACACATGCACGCACGCACACATGCACGCACATGCACGCACGTGTACGTGCACACGCACGCACGAACGCACGTGTACGTACACACGTACGCACGCACGCACGCACGTATACGTCCACACACGCACGCACGTTTACATACACACACACGCACGCATGCATAATAAATCGGTAATAATCGCTATCGGGTGTTGTCGTGTAGACGCTACATAATCGTTAACTCGAGTTGTCGAGTTAGCTTAACTCGAGTTAAGGTTCGTCGTGTAGACGAGGCTTATAAGTATGATAAACTCGCTCTCTCGCTCACTCGCTCCCTCACTCGCTCCCTCGCTCACTTGCACCCTCTCTCACTTACCTGCTCCCTCACTCCATCTCCCTTGCTCGTTCTTTCTCTTCCTCACTCGCTCTCTCGCTCTCTCTCGGCATTACGATTGCCATCATACACCCACGATTATCACTGCCTCTACATCTCCCTCTCTCCCTCCTCTACCATCTTTCTAGTCAGACATCTTGGCTATTGAGCAGACACGCCACGCCGCAGATATGTAGCAAATATAGCACATGAAAAACAGCCGACATATAGTATTAGTGTGACATCAACGCTGACATTTTTTTATTATTCGACTCATTTCATATTTACAATCGAACCAACAAACATTCTAACAAAACAATGCTTAAGTGTATACAATATATATTCCATGCGAACTATGCAGACTGAACCAGATGTCGGTCCTGCTAGCCGTGCACGTCTCAACCTGTTCGCAACTCTCCCGATGCACACGCTCTACTCTCCGCACATAAATACTTCGTGCATGAATTTTATAGGCGCGGCAACATCAGCCAGTCGATTCCCAGTCCTTTAAAGCCATTGCGAACCTCCTTAGAAACGTCTGACTCAGTTCTCATTCCGCTTTCCGGGTAGATCCCCCCCCCCTCCGCATGTCCTCGCGGCGCTACGTGGACGGCATCAGCAGGCAGCCGCCGGCCTGCCACATCTCCAGGGCCTTGCTGACGATCATGTCGGCCGTCTCCTCCGGCAACTAGAACAATCAGAAATTTTCACATGACATTTGCGGGGGGTGGGGGTGCACTTTTCACAGATATTTCTTCCCCATTAGATTATAGCTACCGACCAATTTTACAATATAATTTCATTATCGAGGTCTGGTTTTTCTAGATTCGAGGACGAATTCACGCCAATTTGCTCGAGTGAAACGAACAAATCTGCTCATAATCCAACAAACGAAATATCAGAAGCGATCGATAGAACATCTGCAGAGCGACTCGGGCCCCCGGATTCCCAGATATTTTCTCTAGATCGTGAGCCCCACGTGTAGGGGTGGGGGCTGGTCTATAATCCTATGGGTCGTTGGTCCTACGGTTCGGGTCTATAATCCTACGGTTCGCTGGTGTGGACCGTAAGACCAATGACCCGTAGTACCAACGACCCGTAGGTCCAACGACCCGTAGGACCAACGACCCGTAGGACCAACGACCCGTAGGACCAACGACCCGTAGGACCAACGACCCGTAGGACCAACGACCCGTAAGACCAATGACCCGTAGGTCCAATGACCTGTCGGACTATAGAACCCGAACCGTGGGGGTTGGTACACACCTCCTGCTGTGTGCACAGCACAATGTCCGTGACATGCTGCTTGCCCAGTATGTGTCGCTCCAGCGAGACCAGCAGAGCAACACTTATGAAGGCCATCACCTTGAAAGATCCGCCAATGACAATGTCCCACAGTCTGCAAGAACCAACGCGACGTCGCTTACGCTCAACTCATGCCGACCGAGAACCAACGCAAGATCTGTTGGCTTGTTATTTGTGCATCTCGTGTGTAACCTGATTCATGTTTGTAAGTACACCTCCCCAGTCCTCAATAGCTTATATAATCAGAGCCTATACACACCTCTGACAATAAAATATCATCACATATATCCTATTATCACATTTACATGATAAGGACGATGTTAGAAGATATAAAGATGTAAATAATACATCGATCTGCATTCGATTAAATCACCCAGCATTCAGGCCTAAGATAAAATATTGCTTGTTTCCCCTTTACCAACCGACTCGCCAAAACGCCACTACTCGACACATTTTATTGGCCGATTAAAACAAAAAAATAATAATTTCGTTTCGCCAAAAAAAAAAAAATAATTCGTTCCGCAAAAACATATACACAAAACAGAATATACAATATACATACACACATCTTGTCAAAACAAATAAAAACGATTTTTCACCTACCTACCTACTCGGTACCCTGAGAGGCGAGTAGGTAAAGGGGAAACAAACAATTTTTAAAGGGTGGCCTCACTATTGCACCAACACGAACAAACACACATTTGAGCTGAGATGCGCTACATGCTCACCGTTCTATCGCGCCTTCGGGCAGAACGCCCGCAAAGCAACACAGGTACCAATTGTGAAGAGGAAGAACGTGAATGGCTTTGGTTAACACTAGGTGAGCATGCAGTTTAGGCGCCTCCTTCTTAAGAAGGTCTTCCGTTCTCTGCACCTGCGACAAAAAAAACTCGTGATAAATAAATCGGTGCTGCTGTGTTCACAACCCATTGCGTAGATCTAGCGAGAATGTCTTCTACACTAAATAGCTGCTTTAATAATAACGATTTAGACTTACTAGTAGACCTATGTAGTCCCTGTACTTGTCTTCCTGGATTCGTACGAATCCACGGGTGAGGCAATAAGCATCTACTGGATTGTCAAACAACTCTAGGAAAACACTGGCTATCTTCACAAATGCCTGTGATTTGCTCTCTTTTTCCTAAAACAAGTCAATTTACTTCATTTGTATACTTGAAAATTTCATAGATCATACCAAATGCAAGAATTTCTAACACACCAGTCAGTGAGTTCACTATTAACTGCCATTTTAGTACATAAATAAGATATGACAATTAAGAATTATCGCGCATGAGGAATTGCAATATAAACAATAAATGATTAAATTTCAATGGCCACAAATGTATTGATCACAAAAATTTTGAAATGAGGCTATTATTATTGAACACATTATATGAGACTATTGTATCAGAAAGTGTAGTTTATTGATGGAAGAACATTGATTTTCGTCAGCGGTGTTTTGGACAAATTTCTGAGTGGCGGCCGAGAATTTGAGCGAGGCGGCCCGCCCCGCTCGTGTCGATGAAGGGGAAACACTGTGACCCTGCGCGGTCACAACACCAGCCGCATGGTCCGCAACCCTAGCTCACGTACGAAATTGTCATCATCGAAACCTAGGCAGCCATCTTCGGCGCAGGCCATCTTGAGGAAGACCCAGGAGGTCGGCGTGGAGTCGTCGACGCGTCGCATCACGCGCAGCGCGTGCTCAAGGTCGTGGTACTGCTGCGCCCGCTGCTCCGACACAAACTCATGGATGCTATGATGCGGCGGCAGAACACCTGGGAGCAACGATAAGTCTGTTAAAAACGAAGCTGAAATAAAACACAAGCTAAGAGCTAAATTAAACACAATTGCTAAAAGCTGAATTAAACACAAGCTAAACCTGAATCAAATACGTAACACCTAACGGTAATGCTAAGCTAGTTAACACAGACCTGAAATTAACCGCATATTTAAAGCTGAATTAACAGACACCCACCCATTACCTACACATCTCACACTGACACTAAAGCACTTTAGTTGCTAGAAAACATTACAGCTATACCCGCATAGAATATCATAAACAAATATTAGCACACATAACACTCACAGCGATTCAGTATAATACTGTCAGAGAATATGCAGTAAATTTGAAGTTCCACCACCGTGATATCGTCTGGACCACCATAAGAGCAGTGTTATCAACTGCCAGGAATTCAGTGGTTAACCTGTATTCATCTTTTCCCCTTATTCAACTGTAGTCAACCCTACTTTAGAATACGGGCACATACAAGATGGCATTAGGATTAGGTTAGGGTTGCATAAGAGTTTGCTTGAGTTAAGGTTAGGTGAGGTCAAGTGAGCTGAGTTCAAGTGAGAGTTGAGGTGAGGTGAGGTGAGAGTTGAGGCGAGGTGAGGTGAGGTGAGGTGAGGTGAGGTGAGGTGAGGTGAGGTGAGGTGAGGTGAGGTGAGGTGAGGTGTGGTGAGGTGAGGTGAGGTGAGGTGAGGTGAGGTGAGACTGAGAGGTGAGGTGCGGTGAGGTGAGGTGAGGTGAGGTGAGGTGATGTGAGGTGAGAGGTGAGGTGAGATGTGAGATGTGAGGTGAGAGATGTGAGGTGAGAGTTGAGGTGAGGTGAGGTGAGGTGAGGTGAGGTGAGATGAGGTGAGGTGATGTGAGGTGAGGTGAGGTGAGGTGAGAGGTGAGGTGAGGTGAGGTGAGGTGAGGTGAGGTGAGGTGAGGTGAGGTGAGGTGAGGTGAGGTGAGGTGAGGTGAGGCGAGGCGAGGCGTGGTGAGGTGAGGTGAGGTGAGGTGAGGTGAGGTGAGGTGAGGTGAGGTGAGGTGAGGTGTGGTGAGGTGAGGTGAGGTGAGGTGAGGTGAGGTGAGGTGAGGTGAGGTGAGGTGAGGTGTGGTGAGGTGTGGTGAGGTGAGGTGAGGTGAGGTGAGGTGAGGTGAGGATTACGGTTACTGCTAGCTAAGTTAGGGTTAAAATTAACCCATCGTTATTGGGAAAAGGTTACGTGACAACAAATGTATGATGATGATGATGATGATGATGATGATGGTGATGATGATGATGATGATGATGATGATGGTGATGATGATGATGATGACGATGATGATGGTGACGATGATGATGGTGATGATGATGATGATGATGATGATGATGATGATGATGATAGCAGTAGCATTCACAATGACGAGTGGTGGAGGTGACGATGATAATGGTGGCAAGTAACCGGATGGTAAAATCAACTCATGCCCATATATATATAGTGACTCCGCACACATGACTCAGATGACGTCAGAGTAGATTACCGAGCAGCACTTTCCACACGAGTTCCCGGAACATGGACGGCACGGGGAAGCGGAGGCAGTACTGTGCGAGGCGCTGCAGTTCAAGCGGCTGCTCCTTCAGCAGGATCTCCAGCGACTTCTTCTCCTCGATGCCGCGAAAGCCCACCTTCTCGTAGTAGTGCGAGCGGAAGTTCCTGTCGTCGCCGACGGTCACCATGCTTCGTGTTACGTACCAGCCCACGTTTAATGACACAGACTGTTGTTGCTGGTGGCAGCGCGCCTTAGTTGAATGGCAAGAGCATCAGTTTCCTGGGCCCCTAAAGTTGATAAAATATTATAAGAAGTGACATAATCGCAGGCGCTATTAAAGATATAGTATCAGAACTGCTACTACTACTACTACTGAGTACAGTGACGTGAAATAGGGGGCCAACGTATGGACTACGTATACGTGATGTATCAATAACATAGAGCCGAGATCGCGACTTACAATTACATGTACTTAATTTTCGCCCTAAAGCAATTAAGGTTCACTGAAATACAACATAAATCATCTGAGATTAGCTTTATACCACTAAACTGACAATTTACACACACAGGCACTTGAAGCGTTTCAATAAGATATAAAAAAGATAATGCAAATAAATACGAAATCTATTACCAAAACCCACTGTTTACGTAAAGCACCGCCACCTCTCGGTTACTTTGTCAATTAATCTACGAACCAACATGTCTGCGCCCATGCTGTCAGGTTGTGCATGCGTGATCAATATAATTTGGCTTATTACTAAGTTACAAGTCAATTATATAAGTTAATATTAGTTAATATAAGTTATGCACTAAGTTATGATACTAACTTATGTATCTACGCAATTAGTAAATTGGTTATGAATTTGTAGACCAGTGGCAGTGTGACTGTTACACTGACACTGACAGTCACTGACGCTGAGAGGGTCTATGTCCCCCAGGGGCCAGGGTACTGCCGGAACGTACCCTGGGTACGGTCCGGTATACCGGAACGTACCCTAGCTGGTACCAGAGCATATAAATCAACGTGATTTATATGCTCTGCTGGTACTATCTAATAAGTAATAACTAATATGCCGGACCGTACCTCGCCTACTCCACTAACGAGTCTAGGGAGTCGCCTACGCCTACTCCCTAACCCTAACCCTAGCCTGCGGCAGTCAATGTACGCGGGCTATAGTACTAGAGCTAACCCTAACCCTAACCATATCAGATAGTTACCAGGGTACGTTCCAGTATACCGGACCGTACCCAGGGTACGTTCCGGCAGTACCCTGGGGGGCATAGACCCTATGAGCGACAGTGGCTGCAGGAAGAAAATATGAATGTCTATAACTGTTTGCTTCGCTTCCTGCATGATATCTATTTGCGTTACCATTGGCTCCAACTTAATTTGGTGCACGTGTATCTTTTAATTTCTTGTAGATGTGACATTTTCTTACTGTCATTGGGAGCAATATGCTACATGGTGTAGAATAACACTTTTTTGAATGTTACAAATATGGCCAAGATATATCATGTGAATCTGAGTTTGTTAAGTTCATTACTTTTCAGTTGCACGATTAAGTTTGTGAAATTAGTGCGATAAAGTGGCTCCACCTGCAGGAATATCGGAGCTTGGGCTGATAGATAATGGTGAGGTTAATTTATGTTGGGGAAGAGTTAAGACGTACACCATGAGATGACACGTGCATGAGGTCACTCAGGTGTCTATGATGGTAGCTGTGGTCCTGCAACCAGTGATCCCCAAACATCAATCATCTGCCATTAGGCAAGGTCGTACAAACATATTGTTCTTAATGCATAGCATTTGTTCTTTGACTCTAGGTTTGTACAGCAGGCTCAAGGATAGAAGTTTGTCATGCACCGATCGGTTAAAACTCGCAAGATTTGGTTGGAAGACACCTGCTGTTTTCGTACCCAACAAAGAGCAGGTCATTTTAGACTGGCTTACCGGTCTACTTGTCAATAAGAAAAAGTAAGCTGCCCCAATCAATCCGCTCATCATATGATCTGCCATTTCTAATAATAATATATAGGTTTAATGGCAGAATATTTACAATGTTAGGAATGATAGTTTCTGATCCTTATGCTAACAACAGTAGATTATTAACAAAAACACGGCAGTATACATTCAATATTCAAATGGGAATGTTAACGTTCGCGTTCTCATAACGAAGTAATATATGTTAAAGGTTTCTGTATTCCTTATTCTATTTATAGGTTTGGCCTGAATGATTCTGATGTTGAGCAGGTGTGGGCAACTCTGCACGACATCCTGCAGACGAAAAAATATGCTAGAAAGACTAACATCTCGATCAAGAACTCGTTTACATCGGTAATATATGGGTTTGGAACAAACTGTTTTATCATCCATATCTCCACGCATATATTAATAATATATAACTTTAACTTACCATAAGCCATCTAGTGTGCACCCAGGAGCAATTCCTGGTTCTGAGGATATATAGCGCGCTAAAAGACTAAGTCTATTAACAGTATTTATTGTTGTTGTTATTTTAATAATAATTATGGTTATCATCGTTATCATCATGACGATCACTGTCATCATGACCATCATTGCTATTGTCATTGTCATCACCATCGTTGTCATCGTCATTATCATCATCACGACCATCATCATCATCACCATCATCATCATCACCATCATCATCATCACTACTACTATCATCAGCGCCACCCTCATCATCACTACTACTATCGTCATTGTTGTGTTGCTGGGAGCTTCATGCGCGTCTGTGACAGGTGCTTGCTGAGTACATCACTCACTACGGCACGCGTGACGTGAGCGTGGGAAGCCTCGCCAGCGTGCTGAGATGCTGCCACGTCATCCTCACCTCGACCACCATGTCCACACTGTTCACAACTAAGTTTGATGCACTGGTGAGTGATCGCATCGATACAGGCGAGGATGTAAGTTGTAACGACAAACAAGCACGATTTAATGAAATCTTGTCATAGCTCACACTCCTTGGGGGGAACTGCTGGGAGCGTAACTAAACACTGGCACAGTATACCTGGTTGCAAGTATGAACAGAGGTTACCCACCTTCAAGTTGAAAGGGCATTATGTTTTATTACCATGTCAGCTTGTTCAAGTGACTTTAGATAGAAGCATATGCATACCTATCGGTGTACGTAGACACTTGATGTTAGCAATGTCAATTGGGTAGTGACTATATAGACTGTTCGAGCTTGCTATTACTGTTATAAAACCAAATGCTTGAAACTGATATACAGTATCATTTGTGCATAGTTATCAGGTGCTGCCAACCACAATAACCTATCAACATGCATGCTTCATAGCAAATTGAAAGTGTGAGTTGTATTTTCCTCATCCAGTTCATTTTGTTAATACACATCATTCGTAATTTACGTTTGCAGGTGGCGCTAGTAGCCGCCCTACTGAATACGGCTGCCCACCAGCTGAGAGTTGGCACGACGACAAGTGAACAACTGCGCAGCATTCTCACATTCGTTCTCCCAAAGTTTACGACGTTGGCGACAAAGCAAATCAATCAACGACAGGCAAGTTGGAATTGGTCAAGTTTGTCTGTAAGAATGAGAAGCAGTAAGCTGTGTAGTGATCGCAGGGCAGTGTGGGGTGGGAGGTCGTGCGTGTGTACACATGTGTATTATGCACCCGAGCGATCCCGAAGTTGCGCCCTACTACCGTTTGGCTATTTCCGGAAAAAGTAGTATTTCTCCCCGATACACGATTCGCTATCTACAGGTGCTGACGTGGCTCACCGACAAGCTGCTGACGCCATCTCTCTACGTCATCCGTCGGATGGGTCGTCATGGCGACGGCGGTCGCGAGTCGTCTGCAGTCCGCACGCTGCTGCAGCAGCTCGTGGATTCGCTGCTGCTTCACGAGTAAGTTTCCGTGTCGGGTGCGACGTGGATGAGCGCCATCTGTGAGGAGGGGGGAGAGATTTCAGTAATAGAATGAATATTGAAAAATCCACGCAGCACTCCTCAGCGATGGTTTTGCGATTTATCGTTGAGGACGACGACTCGGCCTGTGATATGCCTGTGCTTCGATGCACTTATGTTGGTATGCATGCGTGGGTGTGCGTGCATGTGGCTGTGTGCGTTGGTGCTTGGACGTATACTTGTGTAGGTGCATTCGTGCATGTGGGGTTGCATGCATAGATTGGCGTATCATGTACTTCTCCTAGTCGAAGAAAAAGAAAAGCTGTTAACT